ACCAGATTTAGTTACTGCAGTTAAATTCAGAAGTAAGTGGTGATGCACAAGGCTGAGAAGTTGCTGTTTTGAATAAACCTATGAACTTGTTTCCTCATATATAAAATGAAGGTTTTTACCTCACAACAGCCTGACAGAATTAGAAAACTCAAGTGCATGTGTGCTAGATAGTTTGTTGTTGACTAGACATCATTGCCATTCCTTTTAAGGTCTTTCTTCATTACAAAGGAAAAGAAATTAACATTTCCAGATTCCTCTTTGGAGGCGACTGTAGGTAGATATTTGGGCAGACATGCAGCTGCCAGATGAATAGTTTCTTGAGAACCTCCCACTTTGGTAGAACAAATGGAGTTCTTAAGATTTCCAGTGACTTGATAAAACAACCAGCTTCCATGCTTCAGGCTGAAATAATCAGTGACAGGTTCCCTAATTCCCTGAGCCCTTCCAAATGTTATATAAGCCCTTAACTCCCTATGTTAAAACCCTGATGCTTGGAAGTAAGTGGCTTCAGTTTTCCTAATCAAACCTAATACAGTACATGTGAAAGTACTCTGTAAACTGAAAAAGACCATAAAAAGCATAATTATTATTTCTGTTCTCATTAAAAAGAAATTTCAGTTGAAGTTGTTTTCTGTTAATAAGCCTTTTTTAGACAAATCAGCACATCCAAAATAAAGTTTTCCTTCCACAAATCAATAAAATTTTTCCTTGCTACACAATCAGCTGTCTACCTAACTTGATTTCGCCAGTTAATCATTCACTGAAATCAAGGCATGTTTAGTGAGTAAGGCATTATGCTAGCTACCAAGAGATTCCCCCTGCAAGAGCCTACAATACATGAGAATTAAAAAACATAATATTCATAATGTAACTATTATAAATCAGAAACCACATGATGGTGGGTCAGAGAAAGCATGGATTAAATTTGACTTGAGCGGGAAAAGGTAAAAATCAATAAAGGAATTAAGGAAGAAGAAAATTAAAGGTTAAATAGAACTGAACATTAAAACATAGGAAGATGTCTCAAAGTAGAGATAATGCAAGGAACTGGAAGAACATGACCAAAGAAACAAGCTAGCAACTCAGGGACATGTATGGAGAGCAAAGGCATGTAATACAGAGTGGCTTACACCGGAGTATGTACAAAGGAGAGGAGGCTTAGGCCAGAAAAACTAAACATTTAGACTTTACTGCTATTACCCAACTTCAGATTCATGGAGAGATTTACAAAAATTTTCTGCCAAGTTAACAAAATCAAGTTATCACCACAACTGGAACCTAAAAGTAGCATAAAGAACTAAGCAGAGGAAAGAAACTTATCTTCCTAAAATGCTGTTTTTATCCTAACACTCTTCTGCTCAAAGACCTTCAATAACTTCTAAATGCTTACTTTTACCAAGTGTCTCAATAGCATGTTCCCATCCTAGTCAACCATATGTTTCTTTTTCTTTTTTTGGTCTGAAGATTATTTTTTTTAACTGAGGTACATACAATAAAATGCACAAATCTTAAAGTATAGTTCAATGAATTTTGACATGTCTATACACTCACATCAAACAGCGGACAGCACATATACCATCGTATTCAACATATTTTCTACCATTGCCTGAAATGTACCACTCTTTCCAGATAGGCTATTCTTTGTATTATTGGCCATTGAGCACAACTAGTAAGCACAGGTGGAATGATACAATGTATTAGTCTGCTTGGCCTGCTATAACAAAATGCCACAAACTGGGCAACTTAAATAACAGAAATTTAGTTATATTAGCTAAATTAGCTTTAAGTCCAAGATAAAAATGTCAGTTGATTTGATTCCTGGTTAAACAAATGAACCTCCCATGATGTGGGGAGAACTATATGCCCCCAGAACACAGATAAAATGAACCACAAAAAATATTGAACTCTAGTTTGCAAGTTAGCTTTACACAGTGCTATATATATCAACAATTCTGAAACTATACTCTAAGTATTCTACAATTGATAAAATAAGTAAGTATACTGTACAGAAACAAGTTTCTCTCTGTTGCAAAAGAAGTAAGTAATATGATACATGTCACAACTTGAGTACTTCAAGAACATAAAAACTGTATTAAAAAGCATCATCACCAACTACTCCATAACTTACCCATGGGAACTGCAAACTTCACATACTTGACTTCCCTCATCCTGCCATCCCGCAGAATGTGCTTCATCCTTCAACTATTTTTTACACATGAGAACTAAATTCTCTGAAAGTATTTGACTTTCTATGAGTGAAATCTGTCTTCTATTAAAAAGCATTGTAATCATTAACAATACACCTTCGTATTTAGAATCATATAGTAATTTTTCCTTGAAAAACACATTACTTTGATATTATCTATTTAAATTAAAGCCTCAAACAGCTCAGTGAATGAATTGTTCAATTTTCTTGTTAAATGAAGATTAACCTAGAAACTCACCTAGTTTAAACATTTTGAAGAATAAATTCCTCAAATATATTTTCCAAAACAATATACTATATAAGATATGGAAAATATATTTTCTCAAAATTAAGGAATTTTCAGTGTCACCAGATTTAGTTACTGCAGTTAAATTCAGAAGTAAGTGGTGATGCACAAGGCTGAGAAGTTGCTGTTTTGAATAAACCTATGAACTTGTTTCCTCATATATAAAATGAAGGTTTTTACCTCACAACAGCCTGACAGAATTAGAAAACTCAAGTGCATGTGTGCTAGATAGTTTGTTGTTGACTAGACATCATTGCCATTCCTTTTAAGGTCTTTCTTCATTACAAAGGAAAAGAAATTAACATTTCCAGATTCCTCTTTGGAGGCGACTGTAGGTAGATATTTGGGCAGACATGCAGCTGCCAGATGAATAGTTTCTTGAGAACCTCCCACTTTGGTAGAACAAATGGAGTTCTTAAGATTTCCAGTGACTTGATAAAACAACCAGCTTCCATGCTTCAGGCTGAAATAATCAGTGACAGGTTCCCTAATTCCCTGAGCCCTTCCAAATGTTATATAAGCCCTTAACTCCCTATGTTAAAACCCTGATGCTTGGAAGTAAGTGGCTTCAGTTTTCCTAATCAAACCTAATACAGTACATGTGAAAGTACTCTGTAAACTGAAAAAGACCATAAAAAGCATAATTATTATTTCTGTTCTCATTAAAAAGAAATTTCAGTTGAAGTTGTTTTCTGTTAATAAGCCTTTTTTAGACAAATCAGCACATCCAAAATAAAGTTTTCCTTCCACAAATCAATAAAATTTTTCCTTGCTACACAATCAGCTGTCTACCTAACTTGATTTCGCCAGTTAATCATTCACTGAAATCAAGGCATGTTTAGTGAGTAAGGCATTATGCTAGCTACCAAGAGATTCCCCCTGCAAGAGCCTACAATACATGAGAATTAAAAAACATAATATTCATAATGTAACTATTATAAATCAGAAACCACATGATGGTGGGTCAGAGAAAGCATGGATTAAATTTGACTTGAGCGGGAAAAGGTAAAAATCAATAAAGGAATTAAGGAAGAAGAAAATTAAAGGTTAAATAGAACTGAACATTAAAACATAGGAAGATGTCTCAAAGTAGAGATAATGCAAGGAACTGGAAGAACATGACCAAAGAAACAAGCTAGCAACTCAGGGACATGTATGGAGAGCAAAGGCATGTAATACAGAGTGGCTTACACCGGAGTATGTACAAAGGAGAGGAGGCTTAGGCCAGAAAAACTAAACATTTAGACTTTACTGCTATTACCCAACTTCAGATTCATGGAGAGATTTACAAAAATTTTCTGCCAAGTTAACAAAATCAAGTTATCACCACAACTGGAACCTAAAAGTAGCATAAAGAACTAAGCAGAGGAAAGAAACTTATCTTCCTAAAATGCTGTTTTTATCCTAACACTCTTCTGCTCAAAGACCTTCAATAACTTCTAAATGCTTACTTTTACCAAGTGTCTCAATAGCATGTTCCCATCCTAGTCAACCATATGTTTCTTTTTCTTTTTTTGGTCTGAAGATTATTTTTTTTAACTGAGGTACATACAATAAAATGCACAAATCTTAAAGTATAGTTCAATGAATTTTGACATGTCTATACACTCACATCAAACAGCGGACAGCACATATACCATCGTATTCAACATATTTTCTACCATTGCCTGAAATGTACCACTCTTTCCAGATAGGCTATTCTTTGTATTATTGGCCATTGAGCACAACTAGTAAGCACAGGTGGAATGATACAATGTATTAGTCTGCTTGGCCTGCTATAACAAAATGCCACAAACTGGGCAACTTAAATAACAGAAATTTAGTTATATTAGCTAAATTAGCTTTAAGTCCAAGATAAAAATGTCAGTTGATTTGATTCCTGGTAGGGATGCTCTCCCTGGCTTGTAGACAGTTGCTTTTTCACTGTGTTCTCACATGGCCTTTCCTCTGAGTGCACACACAAAGAGAAAGAGCTCTCTCCCCCTCTTCTTGTAAGGTTACCAGCCTTACTAGACTATCATCCCACCCTTAGGACATCAATTGATCTTAATTACCTCCATTAAGATTCTACCTTCAATTACAGTTACACTGGGGGTTAGGGTTTCAACATATAAATTTAGTGGGGACACAAACATTCATTCCATAACACATTGGGTTATTTCTGAGACTAGACCTTAAGAGATTTTGCAGCTTCTGCTCTTACCCTCTTCAAATACTTCCTCCATCATGTGAAAAGGCCCAGTCTAGACTACTGGAGGATGAGAAGCCATAGGGGAACTAAGGTACCCCAGCCAATATACCCCAGATATATGAGTGAGGTCCAATGGACCATCTAGTTCCAGTCAAGCTCTAACTACAACCATATGAGTGACCCCAGGTGAGACTAGCAGAAGTGCAAGCTGAGCTGAGTCTAAATTGTAATCATGAAAAAATAAATGATTGTTGCTTTAGGTCACTAAATTTGGGGATAGTTTGTTATAAGGCAATAAATATCTGATAACAGCATACCTTCTTGTTCTGCTTTTTGACCTAGATCTCTGAACTCTATAGGATTTCCCTCGACCCCGTGAACGACTTCGACTTCGTTTTCTTCTAGAGCCGTAAGAAGAGCTGCTGCTTGATCGATGCCTGCGTCTGAAATGAAACATAATCAAGTATCATTGCTATAAAAAAACGCTTATTGGCATTAAGGAGAAATCATCTGGATTCTAAACAATCATCTCATTTTTACTGTTTCACTCCTTCCTAGAAGCAAATAGAGATACATGTTTTTCCTCTTGCACAGATGACTGATTCATAACTTAATGATTGGATTAGCTACTAATTAAGACACTAGAAGTCTTAAATAGTATACAATACTTCCAAATATTACCAGATAATACGTTATGAGAACTATATCAGTTTATATCTACATGTCTACAAAGAATAGAACAAAGAATGAAGACACTAGACCTATGGGCTAGGCCTGGCAAAGAAAAAAACAAATCTTAGAGTTGGAATCTAACCCTCATAAACATATAACTACTTAAACTTAAAGAAAAATATTTTACCCAGAAAATTTAAAGTACAAAAACATATGAACTCTAAAAAATGTTAGTATTATTACTGTATAAATGAAAATTATGAAAAGCACCTTCTATCATAAGAATGTGAGCGAGGCTGAAGATCTCTGGACCAAGATCTTGACTTTGACCTTGATTTCCTTCCACCTTTCTTTCGGCTGTACGTTCTGCTATCTGAAGAACTACTTGAAGATGACCGTCTACGGTGTTTCTTTTTTCTCTTGGTTCTGCTTTCTTCTTCAGTATCTGATGACCGGCGTCCCATTTCTACAAATTTATGTTCAAAGAAAATTATTTCTAACATAATGGCACAATGGATGAAACTTAATAGAAATCTTTGTAAAACTTACTGTAACTTCATAAAAATTTAAACTTAAAGTAATTAAATGTATCTTGACAAGACATGAGAAACAGCTCTTCTATGCTTATCAGATTTTACTGATAGGGTTACTGCTCTTATTAATATGGGCATATTTTTTACAATTTATGAACAATTTACATTTGTTCTGAATTTTCTCAAATGTCTCTCAAGAGTTAATCCTGAGAACAGCTCATTATAATAATTTTCTTATTTTCTACTTGCATTTATCATTAAATATGATAATTGATTTAGGGATCAAAAACTTGATCCTTCATTTTCATTCCCTAAAAATAAAAGATATTTTACTACCTTTACGAGTTATATTTCCTAACTCGTAATTAAAAATTCTAAATTTTTAAATGGATAAGACCTCATTAGTCATCAACAAAGTACAACTTGAAACAATACACTATCAACATTTCACTTCTGAAATTTGAGGAGGAAAATGTTAACTAAAGCACCAAAGTTTTACTTTAAACCTTGATGAGCTTATTGTGAAGTCAGTCAACTCTGCACATCACTAGTTATTATATAAAGTGATGGTATAATCCTCCCAGAAAGCAACTGAGCAATTTAAATAGTCATAAAAATGTCAGTGGCTTTTTTTTGGTATCATTAATCTACAATTACAAGAGGAACATTATGTTTACTAGACTCCCCCCATCACCAAGTCCCCCCCACAAACCCCATTACAGTCACTGTCCAACAGCATAGTGAGATGCTGTAGAATCACTACTTGTCTTCTCTGTGTTGCACAGCCCTCCCCGTGCCTCCCCCACATTATACATGCTAATCGTAATGCCCCCTTTCTCCCCCCACCACCACCTTATCCCTCCCTTCCCACCCATCCTCCCCAGTCCCTTTCCCTTTGGTAACTGTTAGTCCATTCTTGGGTTCTGTGATTCTGCTGCTGTTTTGTTCCTTCAGTTTTTGCTTTGTTCTTATGCTCCACATATGAGTGAAATCATTTGGTACTTGTCTTTCTCTGTCTGGCTTACTATTTCACTGAGCATAATACCCTCTAGCTCCATCCATGTTGTTCAAATGGTAGGATTTGTTTTCTTCTTATGGCTGAATAGTATTCCATTGTGTATATGTACCACATCTTCTTTATCCATTCATCTACTGATGGACACTTAGGTTGCTTCCATTTCTTGGCTATTGTAAATAGTGCTGCAATAAACATAGGGGTGCATATGTCTTTTTCAAACTGGGCTCCTGCATTCTTAGGGTAATTCCTAGGAGTGGAATTCTTGGGTCAAATGGTATTTCTATTTTTAGTTTTTTGAGGAACCTCCATACTGCTTTCCACAGTTGCTGTACCAATTGACCTTCCCACCAGCATTAGGAGGGTTCTCTGTTCTCCACATCCTTGCCAATATTATTATTTCTTGTCTTTTAGATAGTGACCATTCTAACTGATGTGAGGTGATAGCTCACTATAGTTTTAATTTGCTTTTCCCTGATGATTAGCAATGTGAAGCATCTTTTTTGTGTCTGTTGGCCATCTGTATTTCTTCTTTGGAGAAGTGTCTGTTCAGGTCCTATGCCCATTTTCTAATTGGGTTGTTTGCTATTTTGATGTTGAGGTATATGAGCTCTTTATATATTTTGGATGTTAACTCCTTATTGAATAAATTGCTTACAAATATATTCTATCATACTGTATGTTGCCTTTTGTTCTGCTGATGGTGTCCTTTGTTGTACAGAAGCTTTTTAGTTTGATGTAGTCCCACTTGTTCATTTTTTATTTTGTTTCCCTTGCCCAAGGAGATGTTTCCAGGAAAAAATTGCTCATGCTTATGTTCAAGAGATTTTTTGCCTATGTTTTCTTCTAAGAGTTTTATGGTTTTATGTCTTAATTCAGGTCTTTGATCCATTTTGAGTTTACTTTTGTGTATGGGGTTAGACAGCAGTCCAGTTTCATTCTCTTGCATGTAGCTGTCCAGTTTTGCCAACACCAGTTATTGAAGAGGCTGATTTTCCCCATTGTATATCCATGGCTCCTTTATTGTATATTAATTGACCATATGTGTGTGGGTTTGTATCTGGACTCTATTCTGTTCAGTTGTTCTGTGGGTCTGTTCTTGAGCCAGTACCAGTGTTTTAATTACTGAAGGTTTGTAGTAGAGCTTGAAGTCAGGAAGCGTAATACCCCCAGCTTTGTTCTTCTTTCTCAGGATGGCTTTGGCTAATCACTGTCCTTTGTGGTTCCATATGAGTTTTAGGATTATTTTCTCTAGTTTATTGAAAAATGTTGTTGTTATTTTGATAGGGATTGCACTGAATCTGCAAATTGCTTTGGGCAGGATGGCCATTTTGAGAATATTAATTCTTCTTATCCATGAGCATGGGATAGATTTCTATTTATTTGTGTCTACTTTCTCTCATGTGTGTCTTATAATTTTCAGAGTACAGGTCTTTTACCTCCTTGGTGAGGTTTATTCCTAGGTATTTTATTATTTTTGATGCAATTGTAAATGGAATTACTTTCCTGATTTCTCTTTCTGCTAGTTAATTGTTAGTATATAGGAATGCAACAGATTTCTGTGTATTAGTTTGTATCCTACCAGTTAGAATCCCTCCTTGTACCTGAATCCAGTTATTAGTTATAATAGTTTTTTGGTGGAGCCTTTATGGTTTTCTACGTATAACATTATGGCATCTGCAAATAGTGACAGTAGTATCCTTTATATAAAAAGTGGCTTGTATAGTATTATTCCATTTTAATGAACATGTATCTTACAAGAAAATGGTCCCTCCAATCATCTACCCATTGGCACATCATTTTATTTTTGCATAGAGAGCAACTTGGAATAGTGTTCACCAATGTTAACAATAGTTAATTCTGGGTGACTGGATTTTGTTGATTTTAAATTTTCTTTGAAATTATATATATATATATTTTTTTATTTTGGTATCATTAATCTACAATTACATGAAGAACATTATGTTTACTAGGCTCCCCCATTCACCAAGTCCCTCCCACATACCCCTTCATAGTCACTGTCCATCTGCGTAGTAAGATGCTGTAAAATCACTACTTGTCTTCGCTATGTTGCACAGCCCTCCACATGCCCCCCACGCACTATACATGCTAATTGTAATGCCCTCTTTCTTTTTCACCACCCTTATCCCTCCCTTCCCACCCATCCTCCCCAGTCCCTTTCCCTTTGGTAACTGTTAGTCCATTCTTGGGTTCTGTGATTCTGCTGCTGTTTTGTTCCTTCAGTTTTTGCTTTTGTTCTTATGCTCCACATATGAGTGAAATCATTTGGTACTTGTCTTTCTCTGTCTGGCTTATTTCACTGAGCATAATACCCTCTACCTCCATCCATGTTGTTGCAAATGGTAGGATTTATTTTCTTCTTATGGTTGAATAATATTCCATTGTGTATATGTACCACATCTTCTTTATCCATTCATCTACTGATGGACACTTAGGTTGCTTCCATTTCTTGGCTATTGTAAATAGTGCTGCAATAAACATAGGGGTGCATATGTCTTTTTCAAACTGGGCTGCTGCATTCTTAGGGTAAATTTCTAGAAGTGGAATTCCTGGGTCAAATGGTATTTCTATTTTGAGCTTTTTGAGGAACCTCCATACTGCTTTCCACAATGGCTGAACTAATTTACATTCCCACCAGCAGCATAGGAGGGTTCACGGTTCTCCACAACCTCGCCAATATTTGTTGTTTGTCTAAATGTCAATGCTTTTTTGACAAAGTAATTCTACTTCTAGTAATATATCTGAAGTTTTTCTTGAAAGATATATTCATGAAGATATTCAATATAGCATTATTAAAACTGTACCTACAGAGACTACAATTTAAAAAATGTACATATGAATAAAAGCAAAAATGAAAACTGACAATATTTAAGTGAGGAAACTGAGTGATTTTTTTTCTTTATTTTCTATATGGCTAAGGCTTGTCTATTTAGTATACACAAGGAAAAAAAATACATAAATTGAACTTTTTTATATATTTAGAAATTAGCTGATAAGAAACTTGTCTTCTTTTAAAGTTAGCCTTTAGATTCTCATATGCAATCTCATTTTTTTTACTAAAAGAGTTATTAGCTACCTTTCAGTAGCACATAAAAGCATGACCTATCCTATGTAATTGTTAAAATAAATGGTTAATGGATCAGATTAACTAAAATCTCACTTTCCTTTAATATTTATTCAAAATAAGTGAAATGTCATTACTATAAATGAAACTATTGTTAAGTTACAGCTCTGTTTTCAGAATATTGTTAAGTTACACCCAAACTCCAGTGCAATACCAGGTGAAAATTGGTAGGACTCGATTCAAAATTTTAAGCTATTTACCTAGAGCCATAATTAGACTTTAAACACAGTCTGAACCTCCAAACCGTTCACATTTCTAATACTTTACAGGTCAAAAAAACATTCGGAAGACTTGGTTTTGAAACTTTCAATAAATCACTAGCATATCTAAGCCAGCTTCCTCACTGAAAAATGAAACTGTACTGGTTAAAAGAGCACCATGATTCTTTACAGCTTCAAAATACAGTGATAATTAAATTATACAGATAAATGCAGTATGTATGTATGTATTTAAATATGTGTATGCATATATCCATATTTTTTATCCTTATTTTTACTAAAAAAGGTATGTATACACATAATGTATAACCACATACAACTATGTTTGTGTGTATTTCCATTAAGGATTTGTACATAATTGAGTGATAAAGATTATCTAAGTCTTATTTCTTGGCTTTTTCCTCCTTTCTTGTTTTCACCTTTAAGCTATTAAGGATTTTCTTTGCCCACAAATAACCATTTAAGGTGAGTTTTTGTTATGTTCTTATTATTTAGTTAAAAAAATACTAAAATGAGAAAGGACAAAAATGTATAAATTCACAAGGTTAAAGAGAA